ATTATTTATTATTAGGGGGGGGTTACTAATATTATGAGGAAGGGATTAGTGCAGTACCCGAACTGAAGCGTGACTCAGTTTCCTGCGGCAGGTTCTAGCAACCCACATCTACACACGGCAGCAGCAAGGCGTGAAACACGGCGCAAAGCGTGCGCTTCCTTGTTCTTTCCAACGACTTGCTAGGACCCGCGCATATTCCTCAACTAAATGCTGGCTCACACCTCCGCAGGAGTGTACCAGTGTGTCCAGCATTCAGATGCCGCTCCTCATAATCACCTGACAACAACCATTTCCTGTAGGACTGGGAAGAAGGGTCCTTGCGCATGGGAACAAAGGAGCTCGTAATCGCGTGTTACAGCGCTGACTAGTAGTCAAACATTGCTTCAAAGCTGAATTCAAGCTCCTCGTGCCCGCTTGCCGTGAATGTCCCTCCAGATCCGTCCAAATGCCAAGGCTGCCAGGCTGGCGGCGCTAACCGCAACAGGCGGAGCACCCCAATATATGTGTGCTGAACTATTTATATAAAGTTCCTGATGGAAAATGTGTAATATCAGGATGGGTGTTGTTCAGGTTGAAGGAATCAAAATCGTGCCTCCTGACTAGTATCTTTCAGCACCTCGAGGCGAAAGCTTTTGGGGCCCCCAAGAACATGGCAAAACATCCTTAGATTGTGCTTCTCAAATGCTAGGACTGCTAGGAGTTGGGCTGAAAAAGGGTTGCACTCGAGCAAGTCACTGAGGCATGGGATCTTTTACCTCTACTGCCAAAGTCGCGGCAAAAGCCGTGTCACCGCGTGAAGCCACCACCACCTTCGTAGACAAGCTGTAGTTGATTGAAACGGACAGAAAGGAAAGGAGAGGTTCGTGACTAGGCCAATAGCCATGGAAGGCCAGATTTGTGGTGCCAGGTCGCTGAGGCAGGGCCTTAGCGGAGAGGTGCGGAGCGGTCAGAGGCTGACCCGAACAAGACGAACTCACATTCCATCAATTCCACTCACATTCGCATCTGAGGAGTCTGCGGGCAGCTCCTTCTCTTCACGGTCTTTGAAGAATATCTCAGCATGTTCAAGACACATAACTTCACGTTCAGCCGACATGCCATGCTTCAACATTTCATTTTGCAGCACCGTTTGGTGCCTGCATGGTGAACACCTTCCGCTGCGGATCCCAGCTCGTAAAGAACTTGTTCTCCGCCTTGTCAATCTCCATGTTCGGAACCTGTGCCAGAGAGGAGTCGTGCATCCTTGCGGAGTCATGAGCAGCTAAACTTGATGCCTTGAAGGCGATTGTCTCGTAAGGCTCGCAAGCCGTGAGCAGGTACTGAAATTTGGACTCAGGCAGTGGAAAAAACATGGCTTGAGGAAACATGGAGAAGAACATGGAGAGGAACGGATTCGGACCAGGAGGAGGTTCACGTCATCTCTCTTCTCCCGGCTCTCTGAGGGCTTGGCCTCCGGTGGCTCGACCTGGCAAAGGGCAAGTCAGGCGATGTCATCTCATTCAACACGCTTCTCATTCAATTTCTTGCCTTCTGCTCGTAGGCAGACATGAAACGGTGCCGAGGCTTTACCCGGTCCAGGGCCTTGGGAAAGGAACGCATGTCTTTTCAAATAGACAGGTCTACGGGGCAGCACGGTCTGGCAGCTGATCTCTCCATGCAGATATTGGTCAGGGTGAAGGTCCAAGGTGTTGTTTTATCCTCTGTCGGTTGTTCTTGAGTTCTGTTTTCAGAGAAGATCAGCTCACCGCTGCCAGGGTTTTTCTCCCGCTGGGTTTTTCCCTGGCTTGTCTATGTGCTACCAACTCCGTGGAGGATGGCAATTGCAACTGTTGCGAAGCAATGTTGCGGTTACAAGTATACTGCCGCCCTCGAGTTGTGCGCAAACCCTAATCATTGTTCTTAAACCACAAGCCACATACTTTGGCCTAGAATTTCCGCTGGCCAGGTGCAAGTTTTCAAAAAAAAGAAGAAGATCAGCATGGCCCTTGCGCAAGGCATGGCCAAACAGAGGATAAAGGACACGCACAAATTCGATGCCGCGTGTGGCTGAAGCCTATGAGGGGCTCACAAAGTGCGAATCCAGTGGGAAAGGTGAGTTCTTGTAGTCGGGATTCTAAAGTCCTCCCAAGTGTGATCCTCTGGATGCTGTTCCGTTCAGTATTCGACAACATCGTATGGCCCCAAACCAGGTCTCTTCCCCATGTCCTCCACTGTCCTCCTCATTCCTCTCTTGTAACAAACGCCCCGTAACCTGGAAAACCCAACATCCAACATACGCAAGGCTGACAGCCGAGACAACAGCGAGCGTGCGCATATGGTCTTGCGCTGCCCGCATTACTGTACTGATGTTGATGTTGTTGGCGTTGATGATGATGATGATTGTTAATCCAGCACTTGTCAAGTGCCAACCATGTGGAGATTCAGCTGTCCGATGGTTCTCATGGCTCCAGCAGAGGAGTGGGAGGGCAGCTAGTTTGAGCTGGTAAAGGACAGGGTCCGCGGGGCTTACGGGGTCAGGGCACCTTTATTCTTCGGAAGGCCAGGGACCAAGCTTTCAGGAAAGTGGTTGGGGACAGGGTCCTTCAGGTAAAGGGTTCGTTCAGGGTGGCAGGTCCGGGCTACCATTTTCACATTGGTAGCGGAGCCCGGCCTGTCTTTATCTACGGGGTGTAGATAAAGTAAACAGGGGTAGATAGGAGGTTTGCTAGCTTTCGTGCGCCATGCCGACTGGAAGTGGGGAAGGCGAAGCAGGGGATGCTTCCCAAGGGAGCTCTGGAGGTGGCTTAGGCCACCTACCCTGGCAACAGATCCCGAAATTTGTCCCAGGGGTGAGAAATGTTGACAAGTATGTGGGTCGACTTAAGTTCTTGAAGGAACTCTGGCCACCTGAACATATCCATCTACTGGGTCCACGGGCAGCTTTGCAAGTGGAAGGGTCCGCCTTTCAGAAGATTAGCAGGATCTCGCCCGAAAAGCTTCGACAAGTCGATGGAGTGAAGATCTTGGTTGAGTCCCTCGGCGGCTCGTGGGGCCGCACGCAGCAAGAGGAGAAGTACCACTTCTTCGAGCAGGCGATTTTCCAAGTCGCCCAACGCAGCGACGAGACCAATGATAGCTATGTGGCCAGGCATGACGCCTTCTTTGAAGAGCTCATTGCTCGCAACGTCACCCTGGAGGAAGTTCGAGCCTACATCCTCCTTCGCCACTCGCAGCTGGCAGCCGAAGACAAGAAGAAGGTAGTGGTGGACGCCCGAGGAAACCTGACCTATGGCGACACCGTCAAGGCCATTAGATTGTTGGGTTCCAAGTTCTTCGGAGACCTTCAGAACCGGCATGCGGCCGGCAGCGCCAAGACCAGCGAGAGGACCAAGGTGTATGACATTCACTTCACAGAGGACAGCGCCGCTGAGGAGACGTTCTACAGCAGTGTCCCCGCCGAGGAGGAGTTTGACGATGAAGAGCTGCTCTGTTACTTCCTGGAGCAGAACGTCGAAGATGCTGTGTACATTGCGGAGTTCGAGGACTCGAGAGTAGACCCAATCCAGGAGAGCAACCTCGCCCCCGTGTATGTGTCGTATCAAGAAGCCCGACAAAAGTTGCGGGACAAAGCCAAAGCAAGGGGATTTTGGCCTTCCTCTTCCGCCTCTTCCTCGAAAGGCAAGCACAAAGGGAAGGGGCCAGGCAAGAAGGGGAAAGGTTACCCCTCAGCATCGGCATGGGGAGGTGGCCGAGGCAGAACGCTCGCAGACCGCATCGCGAGCTCTTCTTGCCGCTTGTGTGGCGCACGTGGACATTGGAAAAGGGAATGTCCTAGACGGACAAGCCTCCCCAACACCCGAGAAGACAACCGAACGGAGGTGACCAACTACACCACGGACCTCGAGAAGCACGACCTTCCATTCCCAGAGGTTCTCCAGACTTTGCCGCCAGAAGCCGTGTACTACATGGAGGAAGACACAGACGCTGACATGCACACCAGCGAAGAGGACATGCCAGAGCCACACACGGAGGTAGGCAGCAGTCAACCTGGAGATTTAATTCAGTGTTCCCATGCTGTGTGTTTAATAGCCTTTACTCCTAGATTGGACATGGGGCTCAGCTTTAGGGAAAATCTTGCAAGCAAGTTGTTAATGTGTGCCAGGAAGCATAGACGATGCCCGGCCTTGACTTCCGGGACGGAACCCGAGCGGCTGATTTTGAGCAGGACACCGGGAAAGCCGGCGACAGCGCAGAATGGTATAGCTTCCCCCAAGTTAGCTGATGTTGCCTTTATAGCTACCACGGGTACTGAAGGGGCTCTAGATACAGGGGCCAGCCGTACTGTGGTAGGAAGCCAGCGTGTCCCTGAAATTTTAAAAGGGCTTGATGCAAGCTGCCGGGCCAAAGTTAGGAAAGCCAATTCGGATGTCACCTTTAAGTTTGGCAACGATGGAACCTTGAAAGCAAAACATGCCCTCCTGCTGCCGTACGCGGGTACAACCTGGATTCGAGTTGAACTCATTCCCGGAAATACTCCTTTCTAATTGATCTCCAATAGTCTGTTGCATGAGTTGGATGCGGTAATCTATGTCCGAAAGGGGTACTTGCAGTTACCTGATAGGAGAGTAGCCTTAAGAAGGGATCCAAAAGGGCTTTCTGTTGTTGACTTGTCTGAGCTGTTGTGTCCTGCAGAACAAGAGCGCTTGCAAGCCACCGATCACCATGAAGTTGCAGCAGCTTCCAAAAGCAGTGTTCCAACCACACGCACCCAGCAGCAGCTGACCACTCAGCATGATTGCCCGCTGAGCCGAAAGGATGCCCGCAAGCTTCAGGAGACTCTGGAAGGGTCAACGGAAGCAGCCAGTCTCGACGAATCCTTGTCGGGACAGGAAGATGCTACTCTGGACGAGAGCCAGATCAACTTGCAGCACTTCCTGGAGATGGGCTATGTTCGACCTCCCAATGTGGGGACCCTGCGAGAGTGGGGGCAGGAGCTCCTGCCCTCAGGCAAGCATCGGACCCATGCCGTACGCTGCCTACATGGCTCGGAAAACCACGCTCACCAGTGCCTGGGCCCGATCCTACCAAAACTTCGCCATTGCAAAGTTCAAGGCACTTGCCGAAGCCTGAAGCCAGGCTCCATCCCGAAGGACCCGGAGACGACCAAGCCGGTTCCGGAGGACGAGGAGTGGAAGCTCTGCCCAGCACAGGAGCCAACATCCAGTGCGACAGGATCGACAAGCGTGGCAACGGGCAGCCACCGGAGCAAGCGGGCAAGTGTAGGGACAACCAGTGGTCCCATGAAGGCGGACATGACGGCGGAGCAGCGACTCGATCTCCTCACCAAACAGGCGCTCCTGCGCCGCGAGCTGACGCAGTTGGAGCAGACTCTCGGGGAGGGCAAAGAGAGGTCGCAGCCGACCAGTGCGCGCGCCGGAGAAGCCGGCGATCCGACTCTGCATTCCCTTGCCGTCTGTGAAAGAATCGATGCTTATGTCCAGCTGATTGAAGAACAGTTGGCAGAAATCTAAGGGGATGCCGAATTCAAAGATTGGATGAAACACAAGCTTCCTCAGCTGGATGTTCTTGAGGTCAGTGACACTGGCAACAGAGTGAGCAGTGCAATCCAAAATCGCCAGGGGAGGGTAGTTTCACTTGGGGCCCGTCAAAGCAATAAAATTTGGCCCCTTTTACATATGTACGAACCCCGGCACGTTTGGATTGACTGTGGCAGAACGGCACCCTCAAAGATATTTGGGTCGACAGTGTCCCTCCAAGCATTATCCTGGGGGTCCATTTGACCTTACTTTGTGTGGTTGGAGGTCGAACGGCCATAAAGCCGTGAAAAGGCGTATGGCCGTGAAAAGGTAAAATCGTGAATTTTCACGCTTGCAATGCTGACCCCCAAGTCGTGACATTGGCCTTATTAGACTCAGATTCCATTCTCGCGCTGCTTCACCAAAAAAATTGGGCTCAAGCTGCATGACAGCTGTGCAATTCAAAAAATTCTAAATTTTAAGCCCAACACCTAAACCCTAAACTCTTCGGCCTCTTTCAGTAAGACCTCCCCGCACCATGTTGAAAAACAAAAGCCTATACAATATACAGGTGTACATATGTTATATTTATGCGGTTATGTATATAATACATATATACACACTTCAAAGGGCTCTTTAGTATAAGATGAGATATAATTCAGATGTATTGTATACATGTATACAAGGCACCCAGGGCTCATGTATTCGAAGACCACATCTTTCGATCAGGAGTTTAGGTTTAAGGTTGGCAGAGGGATGCTGCTCTGGGGGCAGGCAGAGTTAAGTGCTATAGTAGGGTTTGAGGTGCTGGCCTGGGGGCCTCTAAAATATTCAGGTGGAGGTTTGAATATGCAATTTTGGAAGGTTTGTCTGACACGTTCAAATTTCTCCGAAATTTCTGGCTCTAGCTCTAGTGGTTTATTGACCTTATGGTAAACCTTGTGCATCTTCAACGAGCTCTATGTTGGTTTCCAACTCGGAAACTTAGCCCCCAACTACCCCTATACTCCCTCAACCTGGCATTTTTGAATTTAGGTGTAACACATATGCTAGCGCAACGGTGCCACCAAAGGTGGTGCTGCTTGTTCACTCAAGTTTTTGCACTTTTTACTTGTTGATCTGAGATCCTCTAAACTTATGAAGGTTAACCTTACGCTACCTTACCTAAAAATCTACAGGCCCTTAAGTTCCCCGACCCTAAGAAAACGGCTTCATTCGCACTAAACCCCTAAACCCTAAAGCTATTATAAACCTTAAACCCTAAACCTAGGAACGACTTCTCACGATCAAAAGAGGGGGGTCCACATCATTTTTCGGTTTTTGCGGGTGACACCAAAATTTCACCATTCAAGGGCCAGTATTGAGATGGAGAACCACTACAGGATCTTCTTAAGCCACAACTCCCGTGAATTCACGCGAAGTAGGTTTCACAGAATTGGTGGTTTGTCGTGGTCAAGCGGTGATTTTGTAGTTTAAGTGACGAAGAAACGTTTTTGAAGGGGCGACGAGGCATCGCGTGAAAAATCGTTACTTGGCCGTGAAAAGTCGTTACTTGCGGTCGTGTTTTCCAAAAATATTTTTGACCTGCAGTACGGCCGGCAAGGTCAACCATCGCATTTTCGTGGTAAGGCGGCCGTGACTCACATGAATTCACGCGGACGTGTTTTTGCAACGATTTCGGTCCAACACCGCATTTTGGTTAGTTGTCTTTAGGTGAACCCTTATAGGTTCCACTTTTGAAGCCTCATATAAGGTAATAGGCTTGTTGGGTTATAGGGTTTATAGGGTTTATAGTGATCGGGATGTCGTTGAATAAAGCAAGTCTTGCCCATAGGCACCTTCAACTCACTACACCGGACCCCATGGACCCATGTAATGTATGAACATATATATATATATGTAAGAAGGACGTTTATGTATAATGTGACGCCGGGCTTCCCGGAGAGAACAGCTCAACAACTCAGAACACTTTCTCGTATTCTCAGGAGATTTCATAGTGTTTTGAAGGTTCTGAAGTTTCCAAGGTTCAAGCATATCTCAGAAACTTAGAAAACTCGGAAAACTTAGAATGATTCTGAGATTCCTGAGTTTTCAAAGATTTCTGAGTTTTCTGAGATTTCTAAGATTTGGAAGGTTCAGGCCCATCTCAGAAAACTTAGAAAACTT